TCCAGTGATTTCCCACCAGTTAGAGAGTACAAACACTTGCTCTCCAGACATCTCCCATCCCAGATCAAAATAGTGTTAAAACAACAACAACAAATTCCTACAGACTCCTGTATTAGCTAAAACTGCACATTCTGACATTTCTGTCACATCTTTTAATCATYAAGTCTGTCTAAGTTTCATTGATTTAATTCTCACGGAGTCTAAAATATGTCCTATCAAGATGATAGCCAAAAATAGCAAGACACAATGGAAAGGAGAGGAAAATAGTAAAGGCCCCTGTTGCTAATACTGTGAGTGAGCACTGGCCCATTTAATGCTAAAACACATAAATGAGTTAAGAATTGAAATAGTACAGCGTTACTCGTTAAGGTAAATACAAAGCATGAACAGGTATAAATTAGGCTCCCCTTTCTAAGTATGCTTACATGCATAGTGTGAGCTTTGCATGATTTTCCACCAGAATTCTCTAGTTCTTATTTCATGAGAATTTGTAATCAGCCAGAGGTAGCTCTACATATGATGACGTATCTAAATCAGGCCTGTTTTTTTTTTTTCCCTTGTTTTTGCCAAAAAAGTGTCTCCTCGCCAAAACTTCTACCACTCTAATTAAATCCCAGGGAATTGTAAATTGGTCCTTGGTCACACATATGAGAAAATGGAAAGAGACACCAAATAACCAACTTACTAGCTGGTGCAGACAGAAATGCCTTATGTTAGAACCATGCCCTGTACAGCTAGCACTGCAGCTTTGATTATACACTCATGCACTCGGCTCCATCAGTGCCCAATCTTTTCAACTAATTACTGTTTAGTGCCTGCCTCCTTCTGTGTACTTTTCATTTCTTAAAAGTCTATTGTTTACAACCATTTCCTTGCTCGTTTTCTACAAAGAAAAAATAAAGGCTTTATCCTCTGGGTTAGGTCTATGCCACATATGCAAAAGAGAAGAGAGATTCTGCTACACTTTATTCAATATGATGTTACAAGAAAACAACAGTTACAGCTGACAAACCATTACATCTTTCATAATACAGACAAATTACAAGGTGTAACAAATAATGCAACATTTATTTAACCGTACTGCTTACTATGCTGTTCTTCTGAAGTATATATATATATATTTATATATATTTAATTACATTGACATTGTTTTCATGTACCAGCCCTCCCCTCTTTATTTGTTAAAAAAAGAACACCTCTTCGTGCACCATACAAAAATCCACTTGGAAGCTGGCAAGCGGAGATTTTGTATGCAGCACCACTGAAATGCATTTTTGGGGGATGGGAGTTATTAGTGCATCCTTTACTTGGAGATTTTTTTCTTTTTTTGCTTATGTGAAAAACGCAAGGCAGTAACATGCCGTCAGTCCACCTAAATGCTGGTAGGGGAGAGTACTGTTACGTTCAGTAATGCAACATAATTCTATTTATATGGCGTGTTGGCATTTTGCTCCCCAGTCTGCAGAGCCTAAACATGTTATATAATAAAGAGTACAAAACCAATAATATTCACAGATGAGTATTTTTATATGAGCATACCAGAGCATTGACTACACATTCAGTTGCATGCCCTTACACAGAGCACACAGGGGTATGTGTCACCCACAGGCCCACAGGGAAGTTAGTTATTCTCATAATTTCCCTCTGCAGGAGTTTGAAGTCCAGGACTCTTGTTCACCAAAAAGAAAAGGAAAACCCCAGTGCCTCTTTCTACTGCAGACTGAAATTTTAGTTTTGCATGGACTGATTTATGGCTTTGTTTAAAATYAATAGCAAAAAATAAAGGACCCAATTAAGGGAGATATTATGCAGTAACGTGATGTCGATGCTGTTAGAGCAGCCTGAGGAGTGCGGTGCCTGCTGCGTGGGATGGGAGCTGATCTGAACCCAGCAGCAGCAGGGACTAAGCCACCTCCTGGTRTCTGACTTGTGGAATCGGGTTCTGTGAACTTGGCCTTGGGAAGAATCCCTGTATTTCGCCCAGCACCAACTCTAGCACCATCTGGTCTTCCCCTGCTGCTGTCTTATTCAACGCTGAGTGGGTCCCATGGTTTCTGAAGGACTGTGCCCCAGAGACTGCTGGTCATCTAAGACAACTTTTGACCATTGATTTAATGAAATAAGATATGAGATGCTGCATTCCCMGCACCCACAGCACATCTGGAAGGCCAGGCCAGGATCTTCTTGTACCTTTGAAGAACCTGTGTAGGTTCTACCTACACAGAAGAACCTGTGTAGGATCTAGGCAGGATGAGAGGAAAAGAGGGGAACACTACTGATCTTTGATGGGAMTGTCAGAGGAGCTTTGGCAGGGAAAATGTCCATTCAGCAGCACCAAGAAAAGTTGTGGAGAAAAACACTGCTTCTCCAAGATGCTGCAGAAGTGGGCTAGTTATTGGGGCCTAACTGATGGGTGTCACATCAGGCAACGAGGCAGGTAGGGGATCTTCTAGAAGGAGGGGAATAAGTCTGTACAGTCCCTGGATGAAGGAAATTCTTCCTTATCAAAAGAAAGAAAAAGAAAAAAAAAGAAGCTTCCCAAAAGATTTGATGACACAGAGGAGTATTTTGCAGCTGGCATCAGCTCACAAAGGCCAGGTCCCCTTCACATGGAGAATCCCATGGAAGAAGAAGAAACCCTGGTCCCACAGGCAGCCTTGGTGACCTCCAAGGAGCTGCATAAGTCATTGAGCTCATTTGCAGAGGTCTTGGTAGCTCCAATTAACTAATTGGTTGCTGAGATAACCCCGCTACCTTTGAAAACAAAGTTACTGTTTGGGAATTTCSATATTTATGCCCTTTCCTTCAGACAACTGAGTTGTTTGAAAATTTTTGGAACAATTTCAATTCTTTCAGTGGTTGCTTAAAAGCGGGAATGGGGCAGGGAAGCTCATCTCACATGCATGTGTGCCTACACACACACACATACCTTAAGCAAACACAATATGTGATTCAGTGTGACTGGCAAGTGTGAGGCTTGTGGGACCAGTTGAGGAATCACTCTCTGTATTAAAACTTCAGATGTTTTCTAGAGCAGCATAATTACTTGCCTCTGAATCTAAGCTGCCAAAGTAGATGTATTTATGAAACTACCCTTGTATTCCTAATTGAAATCTTTGTTACATTTTCAAAAATTCTTCAGATTTTTGCAGCAAGTTTTCTTTTCTAAAAATAGCTAATTTTAATCATCAAACTGCACACGATTTAAGTAGCAAAGATAATGTATAAAAGACTTTTCTCTTACAAAAGAAAGAAACATGAAACCTAAACAAACCACGTCTAAGGCAGTTTTAGTGTGTGATAAATTCAGAAGTTCAGCGGTCGGGTTTTTCCCCTCATAAACACAAGGGAAAAATTGTACCAGGTTCTAAATAGGATTGTGACTGAAAGTGGCTTTCAGATGGCTTTTACCTGATCCTGAAACAGAGATGTGATTGGGGAAAACTGTATTTTAATGGCTGTGCAAATACTGAGAATATTTCCATGGTTTAACTACTTGAAAGYGTAGACTCATATCCTAGTTCTTTAAGAGGCCTTTCGTAGCTACTTGAGCGCTCAAGGATTTGCCTTACTGGGTGTTCTCTTCTTATTAAGCACTGCTGGAGTTTAATAAGACAGCAGTAGTGCAAATCCTTTCCCTTTAAACACTGAACGCTAACCAAAGTGTTACCGCACTTCTTAAAAACGTCATTCAATGCATCCAGCAAGCAAAGGATGTCCAATTTATGCATAGAATAATATTGCCTAGCAAGTGTTTCTGTCCAGGCAGGACTGTAACTCAAGAGTGGTTTCTGCAYCATACCCCATTCTCTCTGAATGTGAAGCATTTTGTGTGATCAGGGCCCTCTTATTACACCCCTGAACATCGTGTCCTCCCCAACCCAAATGTAGCAGGGACTTTCTGTTTTAAAATCACCTGACTTGGTTGCTTACGAAGCTTGCATTTAAATCATTCATTCAGAAGAGCTCTTCAAAGACACAGTACCTGGTAGTGTCTTTGGAGTGGACAGAGTATCCATGGAAAATGACTTGAAAGGTGCTTTGGTGTGGAACAGCAAACAATTTTGGATAYGCAAAATACTCCGTTATGCTTTGAAAGAGGCGAAGTAACACAGCTAGATTTCATGGCTCATTTGAGAAAAGTTTTTCTGCACCTTAGTGTCTGCCCTGAATTAAACAGAACCGTCTCACCATCTCTTTGCTTCCTTTAATAAGAAAACATCCCAAAAGGTAAATAGGGTGAGGAAGAACAGAGGGATTAGCCAAGACCCATAAACTAAGGAAATAGTCTTAAAGGCAATAAAAGCATAAAGAATCCATTGTGTACCTGCTAGCTGAGTACATCTCGTCATTTTTGCTTTGTCTTTCTCACAGGCCTATCTTGAAAACTGGCATGCTATCGAGCCGAAGCAGAGTAACCAAATTCAGAGTTCTGAAGTAAACATGCAATTATTGCCGTGTTTTGAGGATGGATATGAGTGGTCTAAAGAGATCAGGAAAAATGAGACAATCCAACAGCACTTTAGGAAGAGTGGCAAGGTGCTGGAATTGTCAGTTGATCAGAAACGTTGGGCTCGCTCTGGCAGAAATAGTCTTCCTGTTGGTTGCAAAATATGCACAACTCTCAAAGGAAACGCACGGTCCTTTATGCCACTGTTGTCTTTTTTGTACACTCATTACCAAAGAAGAAGTGTGAACACCAAATATGTTGTCTTAATGTATTTAAGACATTGCTGGTGAAAGCATAAAAATCTTTACAAAGATGCAGCGCGGCAGTGGAAAATCAAACAAAATCAAACACAAAAGACCGAAAGAGTACATGCCATGTATCAGTAAGCCAAAGCTTAATCTTCACATAGTTCTCTGAAATCACAAGGTATCCAAATGCGTGCAAGGTTTTAAATAAACTGCAGGGAAAAAAAAAACCAAAAACAAAAACCAAACAACGGGGTCTTGCCAGCTTCAATTTTCTTCTGAACGAAATCCACCATAGAGAAAGAAAGGAAACAGGCCATGGTTCCTTCCCAGTGTTGGCCTCCTCGGTAGGTTTTTTGTTTCCCTCCTCCAAACTGGTAAATTTAATCCTGTAAGGAAACAATATAAATTATAATATACCCCATGACTTGCCTTTTTCAACGATTTTTAAACCTGTTAAAAAAATAGGTTAGCGCAAAGCCAGTTAAAAGGAAACCAATGCAGAGTGAAGGACAGACATCCCAAGCATGTTTGCTGGCACAGCCCAAGGAATTCACAAGCTCTTCTTGCCCCTTTTCTCAAGGAGTCCTTAGTGAACACTTTTGCAGCAATACTTGGGACTAGTTTAAGAAAAGTTTTCCTTAGCTTTCCTCTCAAGGAGCTATTTAAGGTTACCTTGGAATAAGTCACAAATACTTCTGTAAATGCAATCTGATTATGGAGCTCCTTGGTACACTGCATGTAAAAGCATTCACTTTTATTTGGGTGTTTTTCTATTAATACACCAAAATAAAACAACTCTCCTTCAACAAAGACATTTCATAATCAGCATTCTTAAATAAAAGTCCATATAGATTGCGGTGCAAAACAATAATATGATGCACAGCAGTTTCTTGAGCCTTCTTGCAGCTTGGTCTACTACCTCGTGACTCCTGCTTGGGTTGTCTCTTAATTATGTTTGAATTTTGTGTATTTTTTTTTGAATTTTGTATCCCACATGACAGTCCAGCTTTCCTCTGGGTCTTGGAGTATGGCTAAAGACCCAAGAAATCTTGTTTCAGGGAATGCATCAGAGCTGACCCATTTAGTTTACCCTTCCATAAACTTAAAAGGAGAAAGAGAGTTTGGAACACTCAGAAATTCCCAAATGTGAAAGTGGTGAAAGGTTGCTGGCAATATTTTCCTCATTCCCCTTCCTTAAACCCAACACTTTGCAGAGGTGACCCTCTTAATGCCCCTTCCCCCTAAAGAAATAATTAAAATTCCCAAACTCCTTTCTTCAATGTGGAGCTTGCGTGTTGCCACCCTGCCACCTGCACTACAGCTGTGGAGGCCACATCTGCCCAGCCCCAGGGACAATTCTACATTTTCTGGCTTCACTTTTGGTGCTGCATGCAAATCGGTTAATCTCTTCTCCAGGGCAGRGTCTGACTCTATGAGATGCTGAATATCTTAATGAGAAGTTTGGTGTTTTCTGAAGCAAACTTCTTTAGAAATGAAATGGGCAGTTCCCACCACATAACAAGGGAAAAAAGATCTTGGCATATTGGCAACCACTGCCAGGTTCAACACAGGCCAAGGGCAGAACACCGTGGGCTAAGAAAGTGGAGAGCAATGTCATAAGCGTGCACTGAAGACTGCCAGGCTTCCTGATGAAGCCCGGGTTGTTTTYCTGCTCCAGCTCAGGAGAAGGCAGCTGTCAATTCTGGAATCCCAGCTCTACCTTCTTCCACTCTGCTGAGGCCAACGTGTCATTGCCACCGCTGGGGCCGCGGGTTCCTGGTGGACGTGGCCATCTGTGGGATGGTGAGACGGGGAGCACCGCTCTCACCACCGCTGAGCGCGAGCAGCATTAGGCTAGAGCAGCCCACCTCCCAAGCGGTGCCGCACTCACGTTGCCAGGTTTTTATAGATATATTTTAGAAATACCCTTGCTTGGAATTTAACGCATTTTCCCAATCATCCAAGTCAACGTTTTGCTTGGTGACTTGGCAGATTGTGGCCTCTRGTCACAGCTTTGCTTCTAAAAGTGTAACTTGTTAAGTGGAATATTTACAAGTGGTGATTTYCCAAGAGCAAAACAGGATTCTTTCAGATCTCCTAATAAATAAATAAATAAGAAAAAGAAATACAACAGACTTCCTTAAAAATTAACTTGTATTTTTTTCACCTCAAGTCCTATTAATTTTGATTTTCATGATGTCTCTACTAAAACTAAAAGGTTACATGCAGGTAATGATGTGCTTGAAATATCAAGTGACCAAACCCAGTAACTCAGCTCCGTGTGTTCGTTATCTGGAGAACTCATCAGGTGCATGCATCCTTGTTTGTCACAGACCCCAAATGGGATAATGCAGGATACTGATCCGCATTAAAAACAGGCAAACTTTACCATGACGCAGCTGTTGATGTAGCAGCAATTCTACTAAAGGATACTAAAGACTGTAATTTAAATTTAAAAATAAGACGGAGAAGGGTGACCAAAGGGCTCTGGCATCGCAAATAGTTTTCTTTATTTTTAATTAATAAAAATAATCTCCTTCCCTTTAAAAATGCAAATCAGCAATTCGATGCTCCTTTTGGCAGCATCAGCATCCTTCGCTAGGTGCTTTTAATTTTTGTATAAATTATAAAATAGGGCAGAGCTGTGCTCCCGTAGCGTCCTTGGCATGCAAAGCACATTCAGAGTGCAGGTCTATTTATGTTGCAGCTGATTTAGCATTATTATAAGAGTGTTCGTTCTATGACATCAGATTTTAAATAAAAATGTGAGCTGACAACCAGGGGTGCTATATTCTCTGTGAGATGAAACATAAGGGTATTTCAAATCATCAACCATACATTCTTTCTGCTTCTCCCTCCATCAGATATGCAGACACCGTATAGATCCTGTTCATTTTTCTCTAAAAAAGTATAATATTAACAGGTGATTTTTTTCCCCCCACACCTTTTCTTCCAGTCTTTGTTAGAAAACTCCCTTTAAAAAGGCAGCCAAACATTATCAATACTATTTGTACTCAGACGCTATCTACATACAACTCACTGCTATAAATATTAATTAATTGGTTCAGCAATACCCATAATGCAACTTTATTTTGACCTACATGCCCTATGAACTAGATATTTTTTTGGATTCCGTTTTCTTAAAACCAACTGTCAGCATCATGTGATGGAAGAGATGAAAAATGAAAATGAGCGTTCCCGCTGTGCAGGTGAGTGACCTGTGGGAGACAGCTCTGCCTGCCAGGATTTTTACACGTACCATCAGACACAGACCAATTGATTAGATCATCTTATACCCGCCACCAACTAGGCTCAAGAGACTAATTAGAGAGAGTACTGCCTGCGCAGGCACCCCATTGACACCTAATTTGCTCAGCCAAAGCCTTTGGGGAGAATGTATTATCTCTGCAGCTGCACTTCATGCATTTCTGATTTGAGGCATAAGCAAGGAGTTCTTCTTCGCAGTTTTGAGCAAACTGAGTATATAAGCCCTTAAGTGCTAAATATAAGGAGACAAATTAAATCTGGCCAGCCTCCCATAAATTCATAAATTCCCCCCTTCAAATATATGTATATATGTATAAGCACACATGCACACCTTACTTTATATCTGTGTCTATAATACATGTGCACAAACATGAACATACATGTGTCTGTGTATGGAATGCTTGGGCACACACAAAGTCATTTTTTAAAAAAATAATGCTTTAAAATACGAAGTTGTTGCACAGTATAAAGTGCTCTCTTTTTCAAGGATTTTTTTCCCCTTAAAATATAAAAGAATTGCAGTTGTCCTCATATATGAAAAATAAATGATCTGCACCATTGTTAGCTGAAGCTCAGTAATAYTCCATGGAGAGGGCTCTACAGAGGGCTGCCTATTAGGTTTCTCTAGGTGTCTTCAGAGGTGTTAGCTCAAAGATGGAGTGATTATAGCAGTATACAGCCTGCTGCAGCTGAAAGCAATTCTTTTATGAACTGTACCTGGTTTGTTCTTTGCTGAGGAACACTGTTCAATTGACTATACACAATTTTATTAAAATTGCTTTCTGCCAGGCTTTAGTTTTACTTTGTTACCCATGCCCCAAAATACACAAGAGAGGCAGGACTGAAGGCTATGATTAAAAATTTATTAAAATATATACATAYTTGACACTAGAAAAACTATGATTTTTTTTCCAAACTGAGAGGGTTTTGAGAAAAACATTTTTAGGATAGGCTTTTATAGGATTTTTGAGCTCAAGTACTTTGTAACACACAGAGAAATGGTGAATTTGCCTCACTTCTGAAACAGGACTGAAACAAAAAATCTTCTTCCCTGTGATGTGCCTATACACCAGTTTTCCAGGAGCTTATTAAATCAGGAGTTTATTAAAATTGAATTATTAAATCAATTTAATGCCAGCTTGCACCAGAGTCAGTATTTTCACAGCCGGTTTAGAGTGTTTTAACTCACATTTTGCACTGCCATAACTAAGCTGTAACTACATGGGTGCAAGGCACCGGTGCTTGTAGCCTCCCTTACCAAATACTCTAAGAATTCGACTTCCAGTCTTTTTCACAGGATGAATCACAACTTTAAGAAAGAAATCCTCACCTTCCTCACCAGTTTCCAAAAGGCCACATCTTTCCAATTCAGTTTAGATTTCTTTAGCAACAGTTTATTTAATTTAATGTTTAAATGAAAACTCAGAATTAGCTTGGCAACTGTTGCCTGTTACTTATTCATAGAACGTGGTGAGTTTATTATATTATATAAATATTTTATATTTATACAAAATATTTTATGTAGTATATTTTAATAATAACAACTATYGGTCATTAAAAGTAAATTGTATTTGACAAGCAAGTTACAAAACATTTACTGTTTTTTTCTGCTCTATTCTGCTGTGCTTTAGTAACTGGGTATATATTCTTATCTGCACTGGACCTCCCAAACTCTTATCTTTAATGATGAATACTGCTGTATATTCTTCTCCACGGGTCTAATACACGACTCCTAAGATAGATTATATACAAGGTGTTTTCTGCTTGATCATATATACTGTTTTGGGAATTGCTCTTCCTGCAGAGACTTTTTGGCAAGAGGGTTTGCGCCTGTGTGCAGAGCCCCTGCCTCCCAAMCAAGGAGCCTGCACACGGGGAGCTGTGGGGTCATGGGCTGCTTTTGGGGTGGGCAGGGGACATCACTGACCCCAAATGAAGCGAGTGCTCGACAAGGACTGCAAACGAGTCAGGAAATAAAGCACAGTAACACAAGCTTGTGAATGAAGCCATTTTATGAGTGCATATATATGAAAGGAAATTAGGAATCCCTATCAAAGGTGAGAGGTTTGTGATAAGAGTGGATATGGGCCTGGCAATGACGATCCTGAGGTTCTGTCGC